GCGGGAAGCCTGCTTCTCCCTCTCCCACTCCCCCTGCTGTCTTCCCTTTCTCGCTGTGTCTCTCTAGGTCAAATAAATAAAATCTTAAAAAAAAAAAAAAAAGAATGTTTCTCAGCCTTTCTCTTTATACTCCAGGCTCTGGTCTAAGGCATTTATGTAGAAACTTGGACCTACAGCCTCAGTACCACTAATCCTGTTTGTCCTGTCCTATGAAGTTCATTCTCTGTATCTGTCATCTGGCTCAAAAGTCCATGTTTCTCACAGGATTGGCCAGGAGTTGATGATAGCTGGAGTTGGGTTTTTTATATTAGGCTTGCTACTTTTAAAATACATATTTGAAATTTTCCATAATCAATTTTTTAAAATTCATATTTCTTTAGCAGGGGCTTCTGCAACATACCTATCCGACTAAATTTTTTGTTTTAAAGTGATGCTGAATTGCAGTCCACAAGTAAACCATAGATGGATCTCTAGACAGTCCCACCCCCACCCCCACAGCCACCCAAATCAGACATTCAAAACTCCAAAGTTACAGACATGAACTGGGATGATTTTTCACCTTCACAAGCCATTCTTCTCTTTAAACATAGGATTGACCTCAAATTTATTTTGAAAGGCCAACTTCTCTGGCAGGCAAAATTTGATTTGATTTATACACTATGTTTTTCAAGAATATAAATGTCATGCAGCGCAGAGGACTTATATTCAGCCTGGCACAGTATTTTACACAATTTACAGGCTCCAGAGCCAGGGAAGGAAGCCCTCTCATTCCCAGCCCTCTCAGTCAGAAACCAAAGCGTGATGGATGGATGGATGGCTGTCCTCAGCCACTTTTAGCTCCCAGCCTTATTTTGTACTCCTTTGTGGCAGGTGGATGAGGAGTCAGGTCTTCCCCAGATTAGAGTTTCCCAAAGATACACAGTCCAGGGAAAGGAGGGAGGCTGTTTGTGTTTTCCAATTCAAGTCCCATATGGTTTCCCTGGGGCCATTTTATCTCTCATGTCCTTTGGTGCTCTCCTCTTTGTCTTGCTGTTATCCGATCACCCAAGGCCTCTTCAGTCATCACTGAGGATATTCCCACTGGTCAGGGAGCTCCCTGTGAGCATCCCTTTTAGCACTGCTGTCACATTTGAACAGCATCTGCTTTCTGACAAGCTTGAAGACAGAGTGAAGGAAGTCGTCGAGACTTTCCCAGTGGAAGTGGATAACACAAGCAGCCTTTGGGACTTGGATCAATACGCCGTGAGGTTAGTGGCCGGGCAGCTTGTACCAGGGGAAGGGAGGCTGATTCCCAGAGGGGGCAAGGATCTCGTGGTCTCAGCTCTGTCGTCTCTGCAGGGTCCTAATGCTGGCATGGTTCCCTAAGCCTTTGGCTCCAGGCTTTTCTAGACAAAACAGACGGAGGTAAAATGCTTGCTTGTGTTTTAAATAGATTCTGCTCGCCGCAGCCAAGAAGCCCACAGCTTGGGAGGTGAATGACCCTTTCTGAGAGGTTTCTGTTGCGCCATGGCTTCCTGCTCCTGTTCCCTGACCTGACTGCACTGGTGTCAGGCGTCTGCTTGCTGCTCCCCGGACGGTTTCTCTTCAGGCCTTTCTGGTTTTAGTACTTACTACACTTTCATGGGTTTTCGCTCTCTGCTCTTTCTTGCCCTGAAGCTGTTTTTCCTCATACTGTGTATCTTTCCATCTCTTGTGTCCACTCTGTCAAGTGCGTGTCTCCATCTGCTGCTCCTTGTCTGACTCTGCCACGGCTTCTCAAATTGTCCTCTCGCCCGCACCTTCCCGTAGCCTGCTGGGGGACGACCCGCCCTCACCTGGGCTTTGTTGGCCCTGGAAAGAAGTCGGGTACAGGGATTTCGAACGGATGGCGGAGGAGCCTATCCCAGTTGTGGGGCATGTGACCGCACCAGTCTGGGTGGGGACCTCAGAGATGCGGCTGTCGCTGGGCAGTGTGGCAGTGAAGTAGGTAAGTCGGGGGGGGGGGGGTGGAAGGAAGTAGGGGACACAGAAGGGACGGCCAGCACCCATCAAAGGGGATAATCAGAAAAGGAGGTAGAAGAAGGCCGGGTGGCAGCTAGATGTCACAAGGGAAAGCTGAGCAGGAGCCACACTAGGGGAGAAAAACGGGGGAGCAGGGCCTGCCAGACATACCGCAGCCCAGCTCTGCCAAGCAGAGGCCAGTGGGCCGGGGGGAGAGAAAAGGGAGCCTTAAAGACCCCTTCTCCCCATGCATCTCTGGTCCTTTTGTTCTTTTTCCTTTCATGTTCCTGCCCTCATGTTATATTAGCAACAGAAAACAAAACAAAAAGCAGTCTGTCTTTGAAAGGGAATGGCAAGATCTGGAGAGTTTAAAGCTAGATGCATGTACTTCCCCATTTCCTGGACTCTTGGGCCCCTTTGCCCACAGGCTGCTGGAGCCGGGAGAGCTAGCCCCTTTTTGGAACGCCTAGAATGGAGTCCCTATAGCAGTTCGACAGCTCAGCTGGAGTGCCCGTGGCAAAGGCAGCCCGCAGTGGTGCCCACCCAGAGAACCCTCCACGTACACGGGGGAGCAGGGCTGTTGGCCACGCCGGCTGGAGGGCTGGGACTGGTCTTGGGCAGGGCCTGGGCTGAGGGGTGGCTTCCGGCCATGACGCCAGCCCTATCGTGGCCTCCTCTGCCCCCAGGAAGTGAGCTGCAGAGAGGCTCGTGGTTGAAGAAAGAGAAAGGAAAACTCTTCTCTTGTTTAAAAAATGTTTAAACTGAAGAGGTAATAAATGCATATGGCAAAGAAATCAAAAGATACAAAAGAATGTATGATGAAAAGTCTCCCGCTTCTGTTCTCAAGTTCCCTTCCTCAGGCATCCTGGATGTACCAATTTCTTGTACATTCTTACTTCTCCTTTTTAGGTCTGCTGTAATCCAGAAGTTTTTAGATTCTTGACCCAATGGAATATTTTAAATTGTTCGGATATATATGTATGTATGTAATGTGTGTGGAGGGACTAAATGATAATAAAGAAAACTGTATCTCGGTTTATTGCCAATAATTCTTGCTGGGGCAGGAACGGTTTAAAATAACTAACTAGAGTCTTAAAATGCTAGCACTGGAAAGGACCTTCCGAGTCCCTTGTAACAAAGCCTTCATTTCAAACACAAGAGGCCCAGAAAGTGACTTTTCCAGGGTCCCCACATGAGGTAATGGCACTTTTTGGGTAGTGGCCTTTGGAAAGATAGGGATCCTGGAATGAAAGACAGATGATTGGGCACGGGTCTAAAAATTTCCTCCATTGGATACAAACATGGGGAAGGAAATCGGTAATTTCCAGGAAAAACCTGAAGTCACATTCTAATTGAAAAATAGCACACATGCGCGTGCACACACACACACACACACACACACACAGGCACTGGCCGCGACAGAAGATGAAAGTCGGCAAAGTCTACTGTCTGTCTCTCCTGCTGAGCTGGGCAGAGGCTGTAAGAGGCAGCATGACGTCACTCCTCTACTGAGGAACCCACACCCCTCGGACCTGGGGTCCCTGGACTGGAGGCAGATGCAGGCATTTTTGTTGGGCCGGAGGGAGAAATGCCCGCCCAGACTTGAGTAGGAGGACAACCTGTGCATGGACCCCAGGTCCGAGATGCCAAGGGTGCAAGGAGGGAGTGCCTGGCCATGCCACCGTGGAGCTCTGCCACCACGGGATCCAGGAGCACCAACGACCCCAGCTCTTTACACCGCCTCCCGGGAGGCAACACCCCACGATTTATATGCCGACAAACCGGCAGGATAATTTTGAAAAATTCTCTCTGCTTTGACGTTTGCTCCACACACTGTGAACGATTTCAGTGTCCAAGCCAGACTGATGGGCCTTTTGATGGCTTCAGTGAGAGGGCACATGTATGACTGTAAACACTGGCAGTAAAAACCCTCAATTGCTTTGAAATGGTAAATTTCCAGGCAATGTGGATCTGATGTTACACGCCTCCCTGCATTAACAGCTTTTTCTTCCTGTTCAATTATTTTGGCTGGTAAGGGAGTGGAAATTACACTTCAAAATATATCGATGGATATTTTCAGCCTTGCTGAGAGCTTCAAAATATGTACCAATCCCAGGAACATTCCCTTAATTTCCACCTCCAAGTTTGTCAGGGAAAATGGAGGTATCAACTACAGGCCCAGTTAGACAAAAGGAGATGCAGGAGCAGGGCCAGCGGTCTCTTTGCATTTCAGATTCTCTCCGGTCTTACTGTGTAATCTCTTTCTCAGCCAAATTTTGCTCCAGCCCTAAGTCTAGGGGTCCATCCTAATATGTACCAGGTGACAAGGTCCTTGATAAAGAAATGAGATTTCCCAAGAGCTTGGGTCTGGGGCCTTGAGACAGGGCATCTGATGGAGGCGGAAAAAACCACCAGTTCTCTGTGGCTTCGTTTTCACTCAAGGGATCCAGAAGTCCCAATCTCTGATGCACGTGGTTCTCTCCTATGCCTAGGTGCTGGGCGCATGGGCAGCCATCCAGCAACACATTTGCCCCAATTGTGCTTCTGGTTTTCTCATGTCTACCTGACCGGTTCCTTCCACTTCTCTTTCTAAGCACCAGACCTGGATTTACAGCCGCCTTTCGGGACAGACCACAGAGAGCTCCAGTTCGGTTGAACATGCCTCCCAAATCTGTTCCTCCATCTGCGTTTCCCGTTAATAGTTGGTTACCTTACACCAAAGCACTTGTCTCCTACACAAGAAATTTGCATGCTATTCTTCATTCCTTTCTCTAACCCCACTTCCAACTGATCACCAAATCCTTTGAGTCTGCCCTCTCTCTCTCCTCCAGAGTTTCTGCCCTAACCTAGGCCCACAGTACTGCTTGCTTGGACAATCGCGGTATCCTTGTGATCCCCGCCTCACTAAAATTTATAACTAATCATGTCACTCCCTGGTTTAAAATCTTAGATGGTTCTCCATGGCTTACCAGAGTAAGTCCAAACGTCCTAGAAAGGCAGAGAAGACATCTGTTAACCGGTCAGTGCCTACGTCTCTACCCTGTTGCCATCAGCACCCCCTACCCCCAAGCCCCTCACCATTTCCTGTGTTCCCACACACTTCCACATCCTAGTGTCCTCTGTTTGCCTCCTCCTCTTCCCAGAACACCCTTCCACTCTTGCCTACTTGCCTGCCCTTTAAGATTCAGCTCTCAGGTGACTTCTTACTTGAAGAAGCACCCTTTGTGCTTCTAGAGAGTTCCATTATATCCTCTTGTGACAATTGATGTGTATTTCCCCATGATCAGTTACTGGGCTCCTCAGAAGCTGTGATCAGGTTTTGTTCACTTTCGTGTCCCTGGAACCTGGAATTGCCTGGTGTGGTAGGCACTCGAGAAGAAAAGGAAAGGAAAGAAAGGGATGGGCATACCACCCCGCGGGTAAGCAGGCCTGTGGCATTTTCATGGGACAGAATGGGGAGTAGCAACAGCCCTCCCCCCTAGGTATTTATCTACTCATTCACTCATCGCACAAACATCCAGGGAGTGCTGCCGCAATGGCCAGAGGCTGTGCTAGAACCGGTGACAAAAGAAAGCGGCCAGGCCCTGCTCAGAGGAACTCCCATTCAAGGGTGAGAGACGGGCATGTGGCAAGCCCTGCCCTGGCCTTTTGGGCCATCTGTCCGGCTCTGAGGACCTTTGCCACTCATCGCCACAGAGGCTGTGGAGTGGGGGAAGGGATGAAGGAGAGCACCCGAGAGATGGGGAGGTCAGGGAGGCCTCGCGGAGGGCTCTGCCTCTGGGACCAATTCTGCTGACCAGCTGGCTTCGTTTATGCATTTGTCCTTTGCAGAAATTCCTTACTGTTAAGAAAAAGCATTTGACACATTTCTAATTAACCCTCAGCCTCTGCAATCTTATTATTCCCAAATGCAACAGCTGACTCATCTCATGATCAGTAATAATATTCGTAGTTCCTGCAGTTATCCTCCAGAACCAGGGTCACTCCTCCCAGATTCTGGTGGGACCACAGAGGACCTTTCCGCCCCCCACCCTCCACCCTGCCATCCTGGGGCAGCAGCATTTGGCCCCTGGTCCTGGGGTTGCAGGGAGGGAGGCAGTGCTCCTGAGGAAGCACTGTTGGGGAACCTGAGTTGCTCCCCACCCACTGGCCCACACTGACCCCAGACGAGTCACTCGCTTTCTCTGGGCTCCAGTCCTGCACCAATGTTGCACACAGCTACCCACTCCTCTTCCTTCCCTTCCTGCCAGCAACAAGTACTTACTGAGCACGTACTATGTGCGGCTACATGCCAAGCGCTGTTCTAAGTGCTGGGGAGACCACGGGGAGCTCCTGGCCTCATGGGGCTTACACCCCAGTGGCAGAAACCAATCTGAAAAGCCAAATAGGAGATCTAGGCCTGATAAGACTCTTGGAGCTCCTTTCAAAGAGCCAGGTCCTCTCCTTGATGGTTTATAAGAAACTTGGCTTAGAAATAACCTTCCCTTAGGTACCGTGGTGCCTTCAGTGCTGGCAGTGGGGATGGTACGTGCCACTGATGGCTGGAGGACCTCTGCGGGCACCAGTCTCTTCGTCTGTGCAAGGGAGAGGGTCACCCCCTTCCTCACAGGGTCATGGTGAGTATTCTGAGATCTTGCTTTGGCACAGTGCCTGTTGCCTGGTAACATACATTCTGTTCACCATGTCTGCCTCCTTTTCTGCTTAGAGCCGACACGGCGGTCTAACCAGTCCCCCTCACCCACCGTCCGGGTCCCTGCTGCAGCTGCAGGCTGGGCAAGAGGCGTCTAAGCTGACGCAGTCTCAAGGGTGATGGGTATGCTGGCAAGAATGGACACCCAGCAGCAGCTGGGGCCCTGCACGCTGCCTCTGCCCCCTCCAGGCTGCTGAGCACAGGCTCTAAAGAGACAGGCAGCCATCCCCCGGTGGGGCAGGACAGTCATCCTTGTTGGGCCGGTCCGAGCTCTGTCCTCCTTTGCAGCCCTGGTGAGCAATCCCCCACATGTGCCCGGGGCAGGCCTTCCGAAAGCCCCTCACCCGGAAGCCAGCGGCAATACCTGTACGAGGGGCGACGTGGGGTGGGGGCCTGGGCGGCTTACCAGCCCCGGGGTTTACATGCTTTATTTCCTACCTTTCCCAACAGTGCTGCAAGTTAAGGGCTGTCAATACCCCTTACAGTTGAGGCAACTGAGGGTAAGAGTTTGCCCAAGCCACTCTCCTAATACGGGACAGAACCAGCATTTGAATACAGGTGGTCCCACTCCAGAGCCAGGGTCTCACCCGAACTATACAGCCTTCCTCCCCTCTGTTATCCACCCCCACATCAAATGCACAGGGGCAGAGAGTTCCCTGGGGCCTCTGGGAGCACCCAGGGCACATGGCTTTGCCCAGCTGACCTGAGTGCTGGCTTCGACAGCTTTAATAGAGAAGGCCCATGCGGAGAGCAATGCCACATTTTGGAAGAAAATGCCCAAGGAACCAGCAGTCCAAAAGGGCACAGTTGGAGGGACCTTGGAGGTCATCTCCCTGAATCCCTCCTCTTCCAGAGGAGAAAATGGAGGCCCCAGTGGGGAGCTGAGGTCCCTGCACACAGAACTTCTGACCACCCTGCAGACCGCCCAGTGTGCTCAGAAGCCCTGTCCTGGCACCCAGACACTGGCATGGGGAACAGACTCAAATCCAGCCCCACCTCTTCCCTGCTGTATGGCTCTCGTCGCCCGCCCACCCAGTTTCCCCAGGTCCGGGTCTGCGGGCTGTGGCGCTTCAGAGATCACAGATGTGAGGAGCCGGCTCGGCTGCTGGCACCTGCTGGGTACCCAGTGAACTACAGCTATTATTACCGCTCGTGTTCAGTGAATGCTGGGCAACACCAAGTCTCTTAGGTGTCGCTTTGATTCTCTGGTTCCGCTGGACTCCATTCCTAGGACCAGAGAGGATACGATGCTCACTGTCATCTCTGAACACTGAAATCCATCTCAGGGAGGGCTGAGCCTCAGCCCTACACCTATTTAGGATTCAAATCTGGAAGAAAGCCCATG